TTTCGCAAGGAAACCCGAAGGAATTTTGGCGGAAAATTGGCAGGATCGGAGTAGGGAGCGAGCGTCAAAATACTATTCCAATGAAGATTAAATTAAATGATGGATCAATATGTGATGATAAAGATATAGTTATTAATAAATGGAAATGTGATTTTGAAGAAATGTTAAATAAAAATAGCGATACTAGTATTAGTAATGAAATAGAAAATTGTAATAGTGATATAATTTGTGATGAAATATTAGATGGTGAAATTACCAGTAACGAAGTGTATAATGTAGTGAAAATATTAAAATGTGGCAAATCTCCTGGCGTTGATGATATTCCAGTTGAATTATATAAAAATCCTACAGCATTGAATCCGCTTATCCGTGTTTTCAATATATGTTATAATTCCGGTAAAGTGCCAGCTATGTGGAATAAATGTATCATTACACCGATCCCCAAGTCATCCACGGCAGATCCCAGAGATCCGATGTCCTATAGAGGAATAAGTCTAGCACCAGTGGGGTATAAACTATACTGTGGCGTCCTAAATGCTCGTCTGACCGGAAAACTTACCGATCTTGAAGTGATCAGCGACGAACAGAATGGTTTCAGAAAGAGTCGCAGTACCATAGACCATCTATCAACTTTAACAACTATTATTGAAACAAGAAAACTTTGTAAACTTTCAACATTCTGTGCATTAATAGATTTTAAAAAGGCATATGACTGTGTTAATCGTAATTTGTTGTTTAGTAAATTAGAATCCTTAGGTTTAAGTACCAAAATGTTAAATGCTTTACAATCTTTATATTATAATGTTCAATCTTGTGTCAAGATAAATGGCAATTTGACTGATTGGTTTGGAGTAAATTCTGGCCTAAAACAAGGCTGCATATTATCGCCGTTATTATTTAATATTTTCATAAATAACTTAGTTGATGACATTAAGAGATTAGATATTGATATAAATGTAAATGGTGAAAAGATTTGTATATTATTATATGCAGATGATGTAGACGTATTATTAGCCGAAAATGAAAATGACCTTCAAAGAATATTAGATGGTTTAAGTATATGGTGTAATGTAAATGACCTAGTTGTAAATATATGGACAAGTCAAAAATTGTTCATTTTAGAACACAATCTGTGACACAAACAAATTTTGAATTTATTTTGAACGGAAACCAGTTAGATATTGTATCAAAATATATGTATCTTGGTTTATTATTAAATGAGTTTTTAGATTATAACGAGATGGCGAAAATTGTAGCAAAATCAGCCAGCAGATCATTAGGTTTACTAATTGCTAAATGCAAAGCAAATGGTGGTTTTGAATATTCTACTTTTACTAAGCTTTTCGACACTGTTGTTATGTCTGTTATTGAATATGGTGCTGCAATATGGGGAAGTAAAGAATACTCTTGTATAAATGCTGTAAAAAATAGGGCAATGCGTTTTTGTATGGGTGTTGGAAAGTACACACCTAATTTAGCCCTATATGGTGATATGGGTTGGATGCCATGTATTGTAAAACAATCGACATGTATTTTTAGAACTTATAGTAGATTTACGAAAATGTGTAATAATAGAATAAACAAAAAAGTTTTTATATGGGCAAATAATATATGCAATAAAAGACTGAAAAATTGGAATTTCAGAGTACACACAAAGTTTAAAGAAGTTGATATGGAACATTTGTGTAAAACTAATTTAATTATTGATAAACATGTTATAAAAATATTGAGAATATCTGTTTTAATAGATTTAAAGAGCAATGGTATATTGATTTAATGTCAAACGAGCGTAGTAAACTACGTACTTACAGACTGTTCAAAAATGAATTTGGTGAAGAAAACTATTTATTAAAATACATACCTGGTAAATATAGGAGTGCCTATGCCAAATTTAGAAGTGGTACTGCTCCTTTGAAAATTGAGACTGGAAGGTATGAAGGTCTTTTAGTTGAAAAAAGAATTTGTTATAACAGCATTTGTAATGAAAATCTTTTAATTGAAGATGAAAAACATGTATTAATGAATTGTCCTGTGTATGAAGATTTGCGTTGTTATTTGTTTTATCAAGCATCTCTATTTAATGTTAATTTTATGCAATTGTCTGATGACGATAAATTTATATTTTTATTCACAGATGAAAATATGTACTTTTATACTGCCAAAATCTGCAATGACATTTTATTTTATATAGCTAATTTTAGTGTAAATAATGTATATACATTTTAGATAGTCTCTCATAACTCTTTTTAGAGTGGCTCTTGTATGTTTTATGATGTTGTTTTATTAACTATTTGTATGTTTTATAAAATGAAGAGGTGAGACTTAAATAAAATATTGTCTTGTCTATATTGTCTTGCATAATTTTACCAAAATCTGTGACATACCCCATTAACTTGACCTTTAACACTATTTATCTAACAACAACACCAGTTTCTTTATGGAGTTTGAGAATAGACAACTTAAGACGCTTGTTCACGAATTATACGCGCATACACGCGATCTATTATGATATTTATTAAGAAAAAGTACTTCAGGAATAAAAGAGATATTTTTTTTAGATACATTAATTGTTGAAACAGTTGATTGCACTCTAGACCAAATATTGACATGCTTTCTCTCTGCATGGGGATAAGTCAGGTAGCAAACATGTCCCGTGCTGAGTCCCGAAATGCAAACAAATGTTTCATGATATACCCCGCTCCTCCAACAGACAAACAAGCAAATAAACTAACAGATTAAACCAAATTGTTAAAATACAACAAAAGAGTCATAAAAAAATAAGTAAATATAAACTTAATAAAAGCTTACCATGGTTCCAGTCCCGATAGAAAATTTATTTTTTCATTTTAAAAGTGCTTATGAAATTTAAAAAAAATGATATTTGAAGTTTCCTAAATTCAGTGACATCTGTCAGCTTGGTTTGATATTGATAGTCACTTACTCGAAATCCAAGCTTCCAATGATAACGTAACCATTTCTTTAGTACCAATCAAGGGTTTACTTACACTTTGTTTTATTTGATTGTTAGATAATCTGCTTAAGTATTAGCTGACTTAATTACAAATAGTATATTTAAACTTGTACCTGTCATAAGGAACAGCGCTTTGAGTTAACAGATGGCAACCCGTTATCAAATTTTGGTTATTGATTGCTAATGATTAGTTTTGATTGGATTCTTAACAGGATGATAATCATGATGTTACGTTGACAGGTGATTGGAATTCTTTGCAAAGAGTATATATACTGGATTTTTACCAAATTAATCATTATAAATCTGAAGTCAGTTCAGCGAAGAAACATTATAGAATTCGCAGAATACATCTAAATGGCGTCCATACCTGTGTCGTTCAGTATAGAAGAACTATCTAAAAGCAGTAAGGCCCAACAGTCACTTAAGTCAAAGAGGTTATTGTACGATTTTTACATGACACTACCAGTCAACCAACATTCGAACAACCAATTATCTACTAGTTCAACGGCAATTGACCTACACATACAGAAGAAAAGAAAAAGATTTACCGACGATTCAGAAGATAATATAAGTTCACCAGAATCTAGACATTGCTCTTCTCCAAGTTTTAACTCTGATGATTCTGAAAACAACAATCAACCCACAAAAAAGGCCAGAACCATCTTCACCAACTCCCAGGTTTTTGAACTAGAGCGATACTACAGCACACACAAGTACCTTGCTATTGAAGACAGACCCGTTCTTGCCAAGAGACTCAAACTCAGTCAAGTACAGATAAAATGGTGGTTTCAGAATCGCAGAATGAAAGAGAAACGTCAGATCAAGAACTTTAGCTACAACGACTCAACAGAATTGTCAAAGTTTGTTGGTGTTGGAAGGCCTCTTCCAGAACTACAGTCTTCTATTTGTCATCCATCACAACTACATGGACTTCACCAGAACTATTCAGCATTACCCCCAATGTTTAACCCGTACCTCTATGGATATGGTTCTTTGTCACCAGTCATGAATCCTGATTATGTTCAACAGTACTACAACGGACTCTCACCACAGCCTGTGCAACAGTACAGATTATAACTTGTGTTGATAAACATTATTCATGAACATTCCTACAGATGTGCTTAAGTAACACTATAGTTCTATAGATTGTTTTCATAGTTTGTTATCAGTCAATTGTTATTGTTAAAGATTTGATATGTGTATATTTGTGCTCATTAAAAACATGTATTCATATTCGATTTCAAGATTTTATCTTTTTGCCAAAATCTATGAACAAGGGGAATAGTTACATATTCGTTGGATTCACGGTTTTCTAGTTTCTACCATATTGGGTTTTCGTTCAGTGTTGTAGTAAGAGTCATGTACTCACACACAATTTAACACTGCCAATTTTGTGTATGTCCAAGTCAGGAACTTGTAACTGAAATCAAGTGATAATTGGTGCATGCGGTTGCTGTTTATCATATTTGTTTTTGTCCGACATTGTTGTAAGAATCAGGCCGTGGATTTCCCTTTGAATTGGGACACTTTTTGTTATACTTTGGCTGATAAAGCTTATATTTTACGGTATTGGTTTGACATTTTATTCTATGAGGTATCTATAACTGAGGACCCCACTGGAAATAAGTTTTAACTTGTAACTTTTGTGGTTCATCCTAAGATATTAGGCTACAGTGAAAATCTAGTCAAATTAAATTTCACTCATTATTTAATCTAGTCTATTCATATTATCAAAAATCATGACAATTTTCATAATTTTATTTTTAAATTAAAATTTTTAGTAAACATGTAAATCATTTTAGTGTCTATAAACTATGTCTAGTGTGTCATTGTAATATATTGTATCTGTCAAATTCATGCCTTTTATCTTGAATAAATATATATAAATTATCACATGTTTTGATAATAACCGATTTTGGATTTAGGGGGACGGAAGGATACGTCCTTATAGAACTACCAGAGCTTTGATTATTGTGGTCATAACATTTTGCAACTATGGTCAGAATCAGGCTACTCGAGTTTTCTCCCTTTTAATCACATGAGCCGTTTCCGTCAATATTATCATATGAGGAAAAACGTCAATTTCTAAAAGAAAAAATCCAAAATATGGAGGCGAAACCATCAAGTAAACAGACAGGGATGTCCCTGTTTCCTGTTTACGCTATAACACTGTTATTGGGGATAACTGCTATCATCATTATAGGTAAAAATTGTAAATTATATGACAAACATTTGCAACCCCGAACACAGGCACTTGTTTCTATCAACGAGAAGGTCAACTATCATTGTATAAAATGCATGAGGTGAACAAGTGGCTGTGACTCCAAACCATGGGACAGGCCCATCTATCATTTTACCAATTTACATTATATTTAATGTATGCGTGAGATTTAAGCTTATGCCACACCACATTACTTATTCAACATGTTCAAGCCGTCTTTTCACTAAAAATCCTATGTCACATCAATTATCTTCCTGACTCAGTTGAATTGCAAGTATGTTTTTGTGCTGACCAATGTGTACTGTATGTCAAATAGATGACTTTCGAATTTGTGCACTTTCCCTGTAAACTTTCTGTCACAATGCTTATGTTATTAATTCACAGTAAGAATCAATTGTTCCATGATGTCTTTTCACCGATTGACCTCACATCAACCAGTGTAACTCATTGATAAAAATCAACTCGAGATTGGTGTATAAGATAAACAAGACCACCTGAAACTTCAAAAAGACTCACTTCAAGAAGACCTCAAACATTTAGAAACATGGGTGATGAAGTGGGGTATGCACTTGAACAACGAAAAATGCTACATACTCGGCATAAAGAACTTATCATATTATCTTATAGGCTCATAGCATAAAGAGACAAACTAATTAAAAATCAGCCAAAAACAAGATCAAATCTAAGACAAATAAAATACAACAAACTGATTAAAGTCAGTTTCATATTTTATTGTTTACATAAGAAATAGATTGCTTGTATAAATATACTTTTTGGAAAATGTTGTTTGTGCTGTATTTAGACCCCTCTACCAAGAAATTTGTTTTGCATGCACACATATAAAAATTGCAGTTTATATCCAACGCAATCATAGGTTTGAACGTTGTTTTCAATTTAGACTTGTATATATATATATATATATATATATAACAAGTCTAAAAGGGTACAACATCACCAAAAAATAATTAAATCATGAACAAATTTTAGATATTTCGGCTAACTAATATCCTTCATCAGTAAGATGTAAAATGAATCTTATCTTGACATGACTACCACATGTCAAGATAAGATTCATTTTACATCTTACTGATGAAGGATATTAGTACCCTTTTAGACTTGTTATATATTATATTTTGTAGTGTACTGTATCATAATTTTATGATCCATCGCCCTGTAAGATTTATCGTTGGCTATTATTCAGTCATTTTATAAATATATATATTTATTGAGAAACTATATCAGGGGAAAACACCAGCAGGGTATTAGTGTTTGCATCATACAAACTATACATTATATACATGATATACAGTGTACGTAAACAATTGCATCATTATCAGATAATGAAATTAAAAGTGTCAATATGATAGTAAAAGTATTTCTTTTAAAATCCCACCTTTGACAATAAATAATTCTAAAAATGAATGAAAGAAATCGTAAAAGTGCAGTGCGATATCTTGCATTTTATTAAAAGAGTACACATATAATTTGACCTTTTCTTAAAATACACATTCACCATGTTCACATAAAATTTGCACACTTTCAAACTTTCATACATATAAACTAATTTAAACATTAACATGAAACAACGCAGTGCGAGCATTAATGAATGAGGTATAATAATTTTTGTCCATTTGAATTTCATAAACCTTTTTTCTGATATCATCACTGAACAAAAAAGCAACTCTGAAAAGAACATGTCGGTTCTTGCATCGAGAACGAAATCGTGCAAATCGGAAAAGAAACATTCTCGAATATCATTATATTCCTGTCATTCCAACAATACATGCAAAACAGATTCTTCAATACAACACATAATTATGACCATGATGACTAAAGTAGAAACACAATAATTATATTTTATGAATGGATTTAGGTTGTATTTAAAATAAATCTACCTGAGTGTTTTAGGCTTACACATCGGATTCCATAGCAGTGAGTTGTGGCTAGAATGATCCTCTCTTTGAGACCAAGATCATGAAAATATGGAACAACTGTTTCAATATCTTTTCTAAGGAACTTTTATAAACTCAGACTATAATATATAATACAATTTGTGCTAGCCTATGAGAAGAAACAATATGTTTTTTTAAATAAGTTTCTCAAATGTTGTTTTATGACATATATATATAGTAAATATGTGCTTCTGAAATTCACTTTCACAACATAACTGCTACTGTACATCACCCAGCCAACACATCAATTCAAATGTAAAAGCTGAATATTTATTGAACTTACAATATTTTCTTTTACAGTTATGTATTATATGTTGACAGGAAGAGGAACACGTTTTGATATTGGATGGTGAATACATTAACAAATTATATGTTATATTTTTATATTTGTACATTTCTGTGGATATTATTTGTTTTTTTTCCTAAACAGCTTAAAATTATAACAATGCGAAATGAAGTTTATCTATAAATATAGTGGATGATATTAGAAAGTAGGAAGACAAAATATCCTGTTTGTCAACTACATTTAATGAAGCAGTTTTAGGTTAATTTCAGTTGCTAGGGGCATTCTTTCAAACAGTATGTTTCTATGAACATGTTTGTTACTGTGCCTTTCTGAATTTTACCATTTGTAATACTGATATTTTTTTATATTGCACATTTTTGTTCAGTTTTTATTTACCACTATTATATATGTTTACTGACCTTTGAGATGATAGGGGACGGTTGAGTATGAATCTACTTTCTCCCCCTTCACATGTTTATGTGTAAGTTCCAAGTTAAAATTTAAAGCATAGTATAAACATGAAATGACCTTAGGAGATCTCAACCTTCCCATTGTTAATCTTGATCAATTAAATAACAAAAACACAAATAGGAATGTTCAATGAAAATCAATATAAAAAAAATGTTTTAATTATATTCCACCTGTGTAAAAGACCAACAACAAAAAACTTCAATCAAAAGTTTTCAAAACATAGATAAATCAGACTTGTTGGAAACCGCGGACAATACACGACTGAATTCCGTATATACAATGTAATGAATAGTTCTTACAGTTTCCAAAAATGAACTGCAAAAAACTCTCCTTGCCGTTTGATATAATATATATATTGTACTCCTGTAATATTGTTTTATTTGATTGTGTAATTCCAACTAAAAATATAACTTTTATTAATGTTCATACTTAACTGACTTTCTGTGTTGTAGGTTTTTGTCAGAGACCACCATATATGTGGGGTCTATTGGTGTTGGTTTATGTATATCTTTGTCTGTTTTAGGTTTTTGTCAGAGACTTCACCATATATGTGGGGGTCTATTGGAGTTGGTTTATGTATATCTTTGTCAGTTGTAGGAGCCGCATGGTAAGTTCTAAAATTTGAAAATCATGAGGTTATTTTGAACCGTCTTTTTTAAATGCATGGTTCATGCATATAGATAGATGTTTTTAGTATTGAATTTTCATGATTATTCACTGAGTTTTCAGAACTGCTAGCCTAAACCTCTACATCTGCAAATATTAAAAGAAACAAAACTGAAGAAGCAATACTGTAAATTCAGAAATTATTGCTAGGTTTTTAGCTCACCGGGGCCCCTAGGGGCCCATGTGAGCTTATGCCATCACTTGGCGTCCGTCGTCGTCGTCTGTCGTCGTAAACTATTTCAAAAATCTTCTCCTCTGAAACTACTGGGCCAAATACCTTCAAACTTTAACTAAATGTTCCTTAGGGTATCTAGTTTATAAATTGTATCCGAAGTTTTGATCAATTGACAAACATGGCCGCCATGGCTAAAAATAGAACATAGGGGTCAAATGCAGTTTTTGGCTTATATCTCAAAAACTAAAGCTTTTAGAGCAAATCTGACATGGGGTAAATTTGTTCAATTGGTCAAGATCTATCAGCTCTGAAATTTTCAGACAAATGAAACAACCCATTGTTGGGTTGCTGCCACCAAATTGGTAGTTTTAACAAAATTTTGCAGTTTTTTGTTATTATTTTGAATATTATTATAGATACATATAAACTGTAAGCAGCAATAATGTTCAGCAAAGTAAGATCTACAAAAAAGTTAATATGACCATAATTGTCAATTGACCCCATAAGGAGTTATTGCCCTTTAAAGACAATTTTACACAATTTGTTCATCAAGTTTTCTAACATTTAAAAATCTTCTCCTCTGAAACTACTGGGCCAATTACCTTCAAACTTAAAATTAATGTTCCTTAGGGTATCATGTTTATAAATTGTATCCGAAGTTTTGATCCATCGACAAACATGGCCACCATGGCTAAAAATAGAACATAAGGGTCAAATGCAGTTTTTGGCTTATATCTCAAAAACTAAATCTTTTAGAGCAAATGTGACAGAGGTAAAATTGTTTAATTGGTCAAGATCTATCTGCCCTGAAATTTTTAGATGAATCGAACAACCCATTGTTGGGTTGCTGCCACAGAATTGGTAGTTTTAACAAAATTTTGCAGTTTTTTGTTATTATTTTGAATATTATTATAGATATATATAAACTGTAAGCAGCAATAATGTTCAGCAAATTAAGATCTACAAAAAAGTTAATATGACCATAATTGTCAATTGACCCCTTAAGGAGTTATTGCCATTTAAAGACAATTTTACACAATTTGTTCATAAAGTTTGCTAACATTTAAAAATCTCTTCTGAAATACAGGTGAGCGATTCAGGCTCTTGAGAGCCTCTTGTTATTAATGTAAATAATGCTACTTGGTGAATATTGCAATAATAAGTACTCGCAATATGATATCTTATTCAGATGTCAGTATGCAGATTTGAACTAGTACACATTTTGTTAAGGTAAAGCCCGCCTCCGGGTGCGGGATTTTCTCGCTGTGTTGAAGACCCATTGGTGGCCGTTGGCTGTTTTCTGTTGTTTGGTTGGGTTGTTGTCTCTTTGACACATTCCCCATTCCATTCTCAATTTTAGATTTTGCTGAAATCGCAATAATAAATCTCGTATTTTATGTCCATTCTTCAAAAATCGCAATAATAAATGCACCCAATAATTTCTGAATTTACAGTTATTAAAAAAAACAAAGACCTAAAACTGAAAAGTATAATTTCATTATATACCGGTTATAACTCATATTGGTTAATTTAATAGTTTATTTATATTGTCTGACAAAACACTATCATTATATCATAAATGTATCTGCTAAAAATCTAAGTATTCCATACATTGTAAGCTTATCCTAAGACATTACATTGTGCAGTTCATATTGCATACTTTTTTTTTACAAGTTTCATTATTAGAAATCAACTACATGAAGCTTAATCTGGAACTGGAAAGCTGCAAAAATTGAAACACTGCATGTACTTAACCTTCATATTAGTACAGTAGACATATCTTACTGTCATCTCAGTATACCGGACATATCTTACTGTCATCTCAGTATACTGGACATACCTTACTGTCATCTCAGTGTACTGGACATACCTTACTGTCATCTCAGTGTACTGGACATACCTTACTGTCATCTCAGTATACCGGAACTGGACATACCTTACTGTCATCTCAGTGTACTGGACATATCTTACTGTCATCTCAGTATACTGGACATACCTTACTGTCATCTCAGTGTACAGGACATACCTTACTGTCATCTCAGTGTACTGGACATACCTTACTGTCATCTCAGTATACCGAAACTGGACATACCTTACTGTCATCTCAGTGTACTGGACATACCTTACTGTCATCTCAGTGTACTGGACATACCTTACTGTCATCTCAGTATACCGGAACTGGACATACTTTACTGTCATCTCAGTGTACTGGACATACCTTACTGTCATCTCAGTGTACTGGACATACCTTACTGTCATCTCAGTGTACTGGACATACCTTACTGTCATCTCAGTGTACTGGACATACCTTACTGTCATCTCAGTGTACTGGACATACCTTACTGTCATCTCAGTGTACTGAACATACCTTACAGTCATCTCAGTGTACTGGACATTCATTACTGTCATCTCAGTGTACTGGACATACCTTACTGTCATCTCAGTGTACTGGACATACCATACTGTCATCTCAGTGTACTGGACATACCTTACAGTCATCTCAGTGTTCTGGACATACCTTACTGTCATCTCAGTGTACTGGACATTCCTTACTGTCAACTCAGTGTACTGGACATACCTTACTGTCATCTCAGTGTACCGGACATACCTTACTGTCATCTCAGTGTACCGGACATACCTTACTGTCATCTCAGTGTACTGGACATACCTTGCTTTCATCTCAGTATACCGGAACTGGACATACTTTACTGTCATCTCAGTGTACTGGACATACCTTACAGTCATCTCAGTGTACCGGACATACCTTACTGTCATCTCAGTGTACCGGACATACCTTACTGTCATCTCAGTGTACTGGACATACCTTACTGTCATCTCAGTGTACTGGACATACCTTACTGTCATCTCAGTGTACCAGACATACTTTACTTTCATCTCAGTATACCGGAACCGGACATACTTTACTGTCATCTCAGTGTACTGGACATACCTTACTGTCATCTCAGTGTAGTGGACATACCTTACTGTCTGGACATACCTTACTTTAGTCTTAACACACTGGACATATCACCAAAACGCAAATCAAATTGATGGCAGAATTGAAAATTTTGAAAAAAGAAGAGCCACAAGATACCAAAAGGACAATCAAAAATCATGATTTGAAGAAAAACAGACAATATCATGGCCAAAAAGACAGCAGTCTTCAAAGATTACACAAAAAACTAATAAAGACTGAGCAACACAAACCATATCAAAAACCAAGGTGATCTCAGGTGCAGATCCTACTCACCTAGCTATAGAGGCATCCGTACTCATGGCAAATAAATAACCAGTGTTCACAGTTAAGGAATGTCCTGTGTTGTCATAACAGAGAAAAAGTGGACAGGATTGTGGCTTTGACAATTAAAACATTTCTGTGATCATCTGTGACACAGATATTTCATAATGGTCTAGATATGAAGCAGAAATAACTGTGTCAATGGTATCCTTTATTTCAAGTTCAATTGGATAGATGTATTCAACATAGTCACCAAACTTTGAATTATTTAGTGGGAGGACATGATCTATATACATGTAGTGGAATGGGAATTTTAAAGGATTACCAAGTTTCATTCTTTCTGGGAAGCTCCTATATGATGTAATCCTCATATTGAAAGTGATTTCTAGACAATGGATAATAAAGGCTTTTGTTTATTTTGAAGTATGACTTCGATTTTACTGTTTTATGACAATGCTTTTTATCTATACCATTTCAGGGGAATATTTACTACAGGGTCTAGCATTTTAGGAGGAGGTGTAAAAGCTCCAAGGATCAAAACAAAGAACTTAATTAGCATTATTTTCTGTGAGGCTGTAGCTATCTATGGAATTATTTTAGCTATAGTTATTGGAAATAAACTTGGGGTAAGTTTAAATTGAAAGTTACATTAGTGTCTGGTTACTACTTGTCTAACTAATTAGACTATACTTACATTTGTAAGATATATAAGATAAGTTAAACAAAAATAACTTTGTACATGAACTTGCTGGCTTGCTAGCGACCATCTTTGTGAAATGTATTTATTAACTATGACCAATTATCTGTATCCATGACAAAGTAGCCAAAATCTCCTTTATAAAAGAAACACATTTTTTTTTCTCAACCCATGATCATTTGTCCATGAAGTGAATGAATCCACAGTATTCACTAATGAAAGTTTATGTTGATATTTTAGAAATATGATCCACTGGAATCCAACCTAGATGTGATTAGGGACAGTCATTATGCAGGTTTGATATCAGTAGTATTATTAATTGTTAAAACTTAGGCATACACAATTCAATAGTAAATTGTTACAATTTTGAAACATGAAAAAAGTAAATTACCGGGTACCAAAAAGATCTGTTGCAAGACACTCAAGTGGTCTTCCTATAAGAAAAATAATCCAGTGATTTTATGAAAATTTCAAAGCCAGCCAATGCAATAACGTTGACTGGGATAAAAAAAAAATGGGGTCACCTAGACTTCACCCATTCTGCAGTAAAACCATACTATTAGAGGTGCTCCCTCTTGGCAGTGTGGTATGTGTAATTAGGCAGCCAGGAACTATCAGAATCGATATGTTAAATCAAACACCTCGTGCATAGGTGCATAGAGAGTGACACATCCTCTGCTCATTAAAGTTCCCTGTTTAAGGAGTTCATAGGTGTCCTGCAAAAATTTCAACCCCTATGCAACATACCCTCATTTGTCACTGGATATAAAGCAAACAATCAATTTATACTGTCCATTATAAAAATATAGACAATGAAGTTTCAATCCAAAGAGGAGTTAAGCCCTCTTGATGTCACCATAAGAAACATAGCTTGAGATTTTAGAAGATATTAAACTGAAAACAAAAGCACAATAATAAATCAATGTTTCATGACACAGTGCCACTCTTCTGTTTATTTATAAATATATGTATGTTAAAAACTTTATTCAGTACATAAGTGATTAGATATAAGTATATATTTGCAGGCTTCCAGATCTTTGCAGCAGGAATTAATGTAGGTATATGTAACCTTGCCTGTGGATTGTGTGTGGGTATTGTTGGATCTGGTGCAGCATTAGCAGATGCTCAGAACTCTGCTCTCTTTGTTAAAATTCTAATCATTGAAATCTTTGGAAGTGCTATTGGTCTTTTTGGAATTATTGTTGCCATTTTACAGGTAAGTGCAAATGCTTTGATATATATTTATAAAATTTACAATAAATTTAACATAGTGAACTAGGACAAGTTTAAAAAAATTATACAACATGAAAGTGAATTGAAATTTTATTGAGGATTTCAATATTATTCAAGAATGAGAAAGAATTCATACGCAGCTGGTTTGCAAAGTCCTGGAAGTTAATTTATTAGATGTATTCTATTTAAATAAGTATGTTCAAAGAAACAAAATAGGGTCAGACTACTGAATTCAATGGAAAAATAAAATGAGCATCAGCTCATAGAAAAAGTGGTCATCTGTTAGGCAGAAGGGTTAACATGGTTAAAACAACATTTGGAATATTGTTAACATAAGTTGATATACAATGTACAATATTCAGTGGGTGGCAGAGTCTGAGAGAGTAATGCTATAAACATTGCATAATTAATTCTATTCATATCTACTCACACTTGAAAATCCTATTACCTAGCATTACCAAAGTATACAGATGGGTGTAGACTAAACCTAACATTAACTAGTGTCAAATTATTGTACAAACAGAGGCATAAACACATACTGTTGTTCTCAAAAAGGGCATAAACATAAATTTCACAAAGGTTGTACAATTTAAGAACATACTACAAATGGTTAGATTTTAAATTTATACACAAAGTAAATGAAAGTATACATAGTTCTAAAAAAGCACAAAAAGCATAATTAACTAAATCTGCAGACATCACAGGTTGGCAGAAACTATTTCTATCACTAGTACAGTTGAAATTGTCATGGTTTGTAACTATCGATCGTAAAAGCTTATACATAAGATCAAAACAATCCAAGTATATGATCTTACAAGCAACAACTGTGCGTATCATGACAGTTATTTAACTTCTTGTATATCTATATGTGCTATTAAACTTAATTTATAGAAATAGATTTATGAATTTTTTTTCAGATTTCCAGTGCAAAAATGGGAGTTCAATAAACAAAACATAGGTAGTCATAGACACTGTAAAGAGTCCCAGGATATGTATTCAGAATTATGTCTAGTGTAGTTACTTGTGAATTTTACTTGAACATGGATGCTTTAGATCTATTAATGTTGTCTCAAAATGTATGGAGTTTTCATAGTTAAATTTATTAGATGTACAATAACATTACAGGTTTAATAAGATCACTGCTTGGAAATATTTAACATCATGTGATTACACAAAAACTACATTGTCATGCAAATGTGGACTATTAAGGTTCAAGATTTAGAATATTTTAGGGTAATTTTATTGTGTAGAAAAAGTTCTACATCTTGGTTTATAAATGCATTTAATATTAAGTAAAAGCTAAATTTATTAAAACAAAAGTAAATATTTAATTCATTTAAGTTAGAAATATAGCTTCACCATGTTATAGTTGATATAAGAAAACTGTTAGCCAAAAATAAAACTGAAACAGTTTTATAGAAAGAATATGTTCATGACATTTTGTGTCTATATAATGTATTATTGTGATATATATATATATATGTTTTGTATTGAAACACATTCCTTATACATGTACATAAAATTATACATACAACCACTTGTTAGAAGTAGTGAAAGAAATTTTAAAATCATTCATTGAATTTATTTTCCATTGTGATTTTAATAAATTTAATATTCTGTATCCAAATTTCATATTTGAAATTTTCTGGATAGAAAACTAACAGTAGGAAAAGCAGGATTAAAAAAAAACAAAACATGATTATCTTTTACCACCTGTGATTAACAGGTGATAGGTGTTGTTTTCAAAACTGTTTTCCATACAGTATGAATAGCCAATATGAAGAAATGAGAGGGAGTCTGTTGATAATGGATTGATTGTAATAATAATGTTACAGTAATAATAAATCTTTACATCTTATTTTCATCTTTTTTTTGTCTCGCCTTGACAGATTAAAAAAACCAGACATGGGTATGCTGTTTCAGGCGTTGGCGGCGGCGGCAAGGGTGTATTAGTTTGTGATTAGGTCTAGTTTATGGGGAACCACTAGTGGTGGGTCAATGATATTTGGTATGCAGTTGTATTAGCATTGGCACATCTCATTTCCATAGAGATTATTTGACCCTGCCCCCTCAGTCATGGTCTATTGACTTTGAAAGTTTTGCTTAGTTTACATGTACTACTTTGTGATTAGGTCAGTTTATGGGAAACCACTAGTGGTAGGTCAATGATATTTGGTCTGCAGTTGTATAAGCGTTGGCATATCTCATTTCCATGGAGAATATTTGGTCTTTACCCCGCAGTCATGGTCTATTTGACTTTGAAACTTTGGTTAGTTTACATGTATTATTTGTTATTAGATCAGTTAAAGATGAATTACTAATGTTAAGTTAATGATATTTGGTATGCGAATGTATTGGCATTTGCAAGTCTCATTTCCATGGAGATTATATAGCCCCACCCCCTCATCATGGTTCGTTGACTTTGAAACTTTTACATAGTTTACAAGTTAATGTTTGCGTTTAGGTTAGTCTCAAGTGAGCTATTCTCATATCTTGGCGCCCTTTGTCTACTGTTGTTGTTGTCTGTTCACTTTTACAAAAATCTTCTCATCTGAAAATATTTTGATCAAAATTATAATAGATACAGAAATTGCAAACAGCAAAAATGATCGGCTAGAAAAAATTGGCAAATATACCAACATGGCCGAAATTGTCATTCAAATCCTTAAAGGAGTTATTGTCCTTTAATGATGATACTCATTTTTTGCATGTTATTCAAAAACTATAATAGTTAACGAAAAATGTAAACATAAAAAATTGTAAGTAATACAAGATCAACAAATAGGTCAACCAAGCTGAAATTGGCAGACGATGCTTATGTAAAAGTTATTGCCCTTAAATGATGATTTTTACCCATTTTTTTGCATTTTTTAGGAAAACTGAATAGCAGATTAAGAAAACTGTAAAGAGCAGAAATGATATGCAAGACAAGATCTAAAAGAAACCATCTTTGTCTAAATTGTCAGTTGACTCCTTATAAAAGTTATTGCCCTTAATGAAGAGTTTCCCCCTGTTTAGTGTTGGGCAAAGACTATAGGTTGCACTTTGTAAATACAGCAGGTTCACAAACCATGCCTCTTTTGGGGAGATATTTAATATTCATAGATATTTTGTTTTGTTTACCCACTGGTTCCTAGATATGATCTCCAAGTTTCATTTCATAGAGAAACAACTTGTGAATTTCACCATTATAAAGACAGTTAGATAGAGGTCAAAATGAATTCTCAGGAAGACTCAAATTAAAGGGAGGGGTAGTACAGAATTTTAGTATAAGTTTAAACTCTTGGAAGTTTGAGGCATATAAATGTTGAAAACATGCTGCACAAACCTATGTTTTGACCGTTGCAAAAAAAAGTGTGCTTGTGAAATTTCCATTCTAGGATATAACTTTTTACGAAACTTCTTAGTTAAACATGGCACAGTTTTAGCCATTGAAGGAGTGACTATTGGAAATTGCATTGTCTATATTTACAGAAGTGCAACCTATGGAGGATAAAGAAAAATTGTAAAAGAAAAATAATGATCAGCAATACAAGATCTACAAGTAGGGCAACAATGTGGAAACTGTCTGCTTTTATAGAAAATGTTGCCACTGAATTTGTATCACGGACTAACACTTAAGGTGACAGAGAGAAACTGAATACAGAAAAAATGATCAGCAATACAAAAATCCTAATGGTAAGGTTTTCTAGTCTTCAATGTTGAAAATGCACATAGATCCAAGTTTGAGAATACCAATCAAATTAGTTTCTTAAGATTATTCTATTAAATAGTTGTATGATATGCCACACTCATCTGCACAGACGTAGGGTTATGAGTATAAAATAGAACTTATGTTAATAGGCATTAGTAACTGCAAGTATAAACGCCACATTCTGTATGTGCCTGTCCCAAGTCAGGAGCCTGTAATTCAGTGGTTGTCTTTTGTTGCTGTATAGCATATTTGTTTTTCGTTCATTATTTTGAACATAAATCAGGCAGTTAGTTTTCTCGTTTGAATTGTTTAACATTTGTCATTTCAGGGCCTTTTATAGCTGACTATTTGGTATGGGTTTTGCTCATTGTTGAAGACTGTACAGTGACCTATAGTTGTTAACTTCTATGTTATTTGGTCTCTGGTGGACAGTTGTCTCATTGGCAATCATACCACATCTTCTTATTTTTATAACCATATCTTCAACATCACTTGGAATAAAACTGTAAAGAGTTTGTGTCGCTCACCTGTTTACCCTGATGTTCTTAGTTTGTTATTCCTTTAGTCTGTGTCGCTCACCTGTTTACCCTGATGTTCTTAGTTTGTTATTCCTTTAGTTTGTGTTGCTCACCTGTTTACCCTGATGTTCTTAGTTTGTTATTCCTTTAGTCATAGCATTGTCTCTTTTTCTGACCACTAGAAACTACTTGGCCACAATCGTTATTAGGGTATCTTGTTTGAAAAATGTGTCCGATGACCCCGCCTACCAACCAAGATGGCCAACACGGCTGAAAATAGAAGGTAGTTTAAAGGGGTAAAATACAAGTTTTGTCTTTTATTTTGAAAACTGTTATAAATAGATTTAAATCTGACAGGAGCAGAAACGTTCAAAATGTTGAGCGCTACCTATTGTCCACATACGTCAAAACTGTCACACGACTTCTTACAGGAGTTAAGGAATTATTGCCCTTAAATGACAAATTTTACCATTTTATTTTTCATTTTTGCCTGTTATCTTGAAAACTATAATAGATAGAGAAACATTATATTGCAAAAATGATCAGCAAGACAAGTTCCACAAAGAAGTATAATGTCTATAATGGTTGAAATCGTCAGTTGACTCCTTATTGGAGTTATTGCCCTTTGATGACGATTTTTACCATTGTTTTTTTCATTTTTGCCCATTATCTTGAAATTATAATAGATAGATAGAAACTTGAATAAGCAAAAATGATCAACAAGACAAGATCTACAATTTAGACACTATAGAGGAAATCGTTCGACGACTCCTTATTTGAGTTATTGCCCTTTCATGACGATTTTTACCATTTTTTTTGCGTTTTGCCTTATATGAAAAAAAAATTTATAATAGATAGACACTTTAAATCACAAAAATGATCAGTAAGACAAGATCTACTAACAAGTCAAATTTTGCCGATAAAGTTAGTAGACTGTCACTCTTTATATGAATGATTGACCTTAAATGAGGATTTTTTTTTACCCTCTTTTGTGTTTTGAGCAAAACTAAGGAAGATAGAGAGAAACTAAACAGACAATGATCAGCAATACAAGATCATCAAAACAGATTTTTGTCATGAATTCTAATCTCGTCTACAATGTTGGAGGGTGTCCTTTGTTGAATATGGACAAAGACCAAGGTGAGCGACACAGGCTCTTTAGAGCCTCTAGTTTCTAAATGCCTTCACATATTGAGCTGATTTTTAGTATGTGAGTCTAGTATGATGCGTTACAGATCGAGTTTACGTTTGGTTCCGCTCTGCTGATATTTACCGAAAATACAGGCTTCGGTCCTAATAAAAAGCGCCCGGGAAAAGAAAAAGCGCCCGGGGACAAGAAAAAGCGCCCGGGGAAAAGAAAAAGCGCCATGGGAAAAAAAGAGCCCGGGAGAATAAAATAATATATATTTTATAACAATAAATGTTTTCCTGAATATAAAAAAAAATAATCATTGCTTGTTTTGTCCTTAATATAAATGGGGATATGTACGATGCTACATCTAAAGTGTGTAGATAGTGTTGTTGCACTTTTACATTTTAGATTTCAAAATTGTATATAAGTAAGTAAGTAAATATAAACAAGAGTATATAGAAGAATCATGAACGATATTGTCCTCGATCAAAACGTATATTTCGTTATTTAAAAATAAAATGCTCCGCTGGGCGCAGCTTGATACGACCGCAGAGGTCGAACCCTGAACAGTTGGGGCAAGTATGGACACAATATTAAAGCTTGATCACAGCACTGAATTTGGATTGTGATTAAATATTTGACACAGCATAGGTTTCTGACAGAATGAATGTGGTCTAAGAACTTAAAAATTCTTAATTTACCTATTCAAACCATATTATTATTTGCTTTTATATATAAATCAGAAATAATCAATTTAAAATGGAAAATTTTAAAGAAAAAAAAGGAAAAAAAGGCATCATAGGAAAGGATAAAGTTTTTTGAACCCCCTTATGATTCATCACCCCCAAACTCAATCCCAGCCTTCCCTTTGTGGTATGGTACCTTGCAGTATAATTTCAGAGAGATCCATACACTTGAACACAAGTTTTGTCTGGAAACTAGAAAAATGCTTGTTTTTTGGCCCCTTTTTGGCCCCAAATTCCTAAACGTATAAGGCAATTACCCCAAAACCCAGATTTCCCTATGTGATATGGAACCTTGTAGTACAATTTCATAAAGATCCATACACTTACACACACGTTATTGTCCTGAAACTAGAAAAATGCTTGTTTTTTGCCCCTTTTTGGCCCCTAATTCCTAAAATTTTGAGGCAATTACCCCCCAAAATCAATCCCAGCATTTCCCTTTGTGGTATGGTACCTTGCAGTACAATTTCAGAGAGATCCATACACTTGATCACAAGTTATTTTCTGGAAACTAAAAAAATGCTTATTTTTGGTCCCTTTTTGGCCCCTTATTCCTAAACATTTTGGGTAACTACCCCCAAACTCAATTCCAGCTTCCCCTTTGTGATATGGAACCTTGTAGTACAATTTCAGAAAGATCCATACACTTACACACAAGTTATTGTCATGAAACTAGAAAAATGCGTATTTGTTGCCCCTTTTTTGGCCCCTTATTCCTAAAATTTTGAGGCAATTACCCCCAAAATCAATCCCAGTATTCTCTTTGTG